TACTCAAATAGTTCCATGTATTTTGGGCAGGAAGAAGCTGGAGGCACATAGACAACTAAAACTGACAGTATTATATCATCTGCAATCATTTTTACACACACATAAGTTCAATATTGTTTGGAGAGTTAGGTAGATTAAAATTTTTTACGTTCATTTTATTGTTGACAAATATCAATACTCCTCCTCCTCTACCATTTGTATGATCACATCTAAATACTTCAAATTTGCGAGGAAAAAAGTTCATTGGAGAAGACATCTTCATGCAGCCAGGTCTCAGTTAATAATACCAGATCTACATCCGCTTCACAAACATTAAGAAAGGAATTTTGAGTTTTTGTATTTAATCCTCTTGTATTTTGGTATAATATATTAAGACTGAATACACTCTGATTGGTCGTCTGTTGGGTATCTACTTGTTTTTTTGTGTGATGATTTTTGGCATATCATTCATATATTTTAATTTTAGATTTACCTCGCTATTATTGGTGCGAGTTTTGAACTCCTTAAGAACCAGATACGCATTATTCTGTTGTTGTCTAGTAAGGTCTCTATTAACATAAATTTTATTTGTTATTTTGTAATTTGCAATTATATTATAAGCAAGATTGGCCGAAGTAAGTACAACTCGAACTGGTCGACACTTATTTTGAGAATTTTTGCCAATGCGGTAGCATTTAATAATTTCAGCATTTTTTATGCCAGCACTCGATATGATTTCGACTACTCTGGTTAAATCATTCTCAGTCTCTGGGGTGGTTTCATCATCACTCTCATTTTTCTCTTGTAAATTACTCACAATAATATTCGCTGCACGTCGTTGCCTTTCCTCAAACTCTTCCAGCAATTGATCATCAGTAAAAATACGTTTACCTTGACCATGTATCAGTATCTTTTGCTAATTCACCTTGCGTTTTTGTTGATTTCTTTATTTCAGTGATTTCGGATTTAATGTAAAGTTTTATTATAACATATGAATACCTATGAAGACTAAATTGACACTTTAACTCTACGATGATAACTTGCGTTATCTATCACAATAAGAGAAGGTTCCCGCAAACTTGGTATCGACTGTTCTTTGAACCATTTTTCAAAATTTTCCTGGTTCATATTATCATGGTAGTCTCCAGATTTGCTATTAGCTTTAAAAATAAAAGAGGCTCCTTCAATAAAACCGTTTATATTTCCAGCGTGAACCACAATGTAGGTACCTGCACCTTTCTCCAGTTTTTGCAGTAGCAATGTTTAATGAACCGTCTTGCCATGTTTTTTGCATATGATACCCTTACTAAATACCTAGGTTTCATCAAGAATAAGAGGTTCATATAATTTTTTTCCTTTGTGTTGGTGGTATTCACGTAAAAATTTTGTTTTTTTTAATTTAACTGAAGGCCGTTCCATGAAAAATAATCTGTTACATTTTTTCTTAAATTTGAAACCAATTTTCCTTATCCAATTGGTTAAGGATATAGGACCAACGTTAAATACGGGAATGTCTTCCATTTCTCGATCGTACAGCAACTTAATAGTAGATAATGTATTTTTTAGAAACAACCATTTTATGTGGCTAATTTTAGAAGATATATATATTCTGGTATTCAAAGTCACTTAAACCTGGTCTTTCTTATAGCCGGTAGACAGATCTTTCAGAAATTTTCAACATTTCTACGGCCAGTTCTGTCGTCCTTTTTTCTTAAATTCCAAAACATCTTGGTTTCGATCAAGATAGTCTGACACGCTTAAAATTATTTGTTTTGCTTGGTCGTTAAATCCTTTCATTTTTGACTAGGACAAATAACAAATTCCAAAATTCGAAATAAGACTCTACGATCTACTCAAAATTTGGTGATTTTTGTTTCACACAAAGTGCATATACCATACGAATTGTATTCTTTACACACGCTGGCACTTATGTCTCATTAATCGTGATTTTTGCTGGCGGTCTAGTGAATATTTGATTAAAATTTACACTAGGTGATCCAAATAGTTCAGCTCTTTATGTGGAGTAATAGTAAAACCCTTGTGACTGTGACGCTATATCAGTGGTAAGGTTTGATCAATTCAATACCTCCGACTATCTTATCGACAGTTTTTGTGCTTGCACTTGCACGCGCTGTTGTGTTACTCTGTCTCTCTTGTGGTACCTTTCCGTTGCCGATCTTTCCTTTTTTGTTCAAGTTTTCTTGGTTAAATGACTCGATTACGGATGGCGAATTGTTTCCTTCTAATTATACTGTTCTTCGATGTGACTGAAATTTTAAATTAACTGGTAAATTTGATGGTGTTGCTCTGTCTAATAAAATTACATGCACATTGATAGTATAGAAAATTTAGTGTCACAAATTGATTTTATAATTTGCAAATGTTATGTTGGTAAAACTTCATTCTTTCTGGTTGCTGCATATATTCCACCTGATACTTCTATTGACAACTATGAAATTTTTCTTGAAGCATTGGAAGCATATCTTTATGATAAACCATTTATTTTGATCGGGGACTTCAATGCTCCTGGTTTTAGTAATGTCCATAGTCCGGCGTCCTCTAAAATTCAATTTCTCCAAAATTTTTCAAATTCACTTGAAGGAACACAGTTTAATAATATCTTAAATGCTTATGGAAACATGCTTGATCTATTATTTTGTAATCTGAAACTGAACCTTGTTGTTGATCATGCTGAATATCCATTTGTCAAGAAAGATGCTTACCACCCTGCTTTATCAATCAATCTTGATTTAGAAACTTATGAAAAAACTAATTCTTTTCCAATCGCATGTAATAACCGCTTCAATTTTCGGAAAGCTAACTTATTATTCTTTATGGTGATTTTCTGCGCAAAGATTGGTCTTTTCTCCAATAACTTAATAATGTTGATCATGCGTTGGAGATGTTTTATTTTCATCTTTATGAAATATTTAAAGCCTCACTTCCGTATTACAAACAACGTAATATTCGGTTTCCTCCGTGATTTACACCCGAAATTATTTACAATTTGAAACTTAAAAATAAATATAGAAGCAACTGGCTAGCAAACGGTAATGACGCAATGTGCAATGAATTTAGACGATTGCGAAGGATATGTAAATCTCAAATTACACTGGCATATAATTCCTACATGAAAAAGGTTGAAGAGTCCATAATATCTACTTCCAGTGAAATATTCAACTATATGCATATGAAAAATGGTACTACAAGGATATCTGGAAAGATGTTTGATGGTTTTAAATCGTACGATTCTCCTCAAGATATTGTTAATGCTTTTGCTTCTATATTTACTAACACTTTTCTCCTAAAATAGATGTTAAGATATTCCGTCAAATCGTCTTTGTGTTCAGCTACAGCCAGTTAATGAAGATGATTTGCTTAAATACATGGCCCGTTTTCCTGCTAAACACACTTCTGGAGATGATCAAATACCGAGCTTCATTGTACATAATGTAAGATTTGCACTCGTAAGACCACTCTTGCATATTATTAACTTAGCCATTTCATCGTCCACATTTCCTAGTTTATGGAAGAGAGCACGAATAACGCTTGTTTATAAGAAAGATGATAAGACGCAATTAAAAAACTATCGACCGATTGCCATTCTTTCAAACTTATTCCAGCAGGTCATTTATACTTGCATTTGTAATGGTACTCATCGTTATATTTCAAGTAATCAACATGGCTTCTTACCTCGGAGATCCACTACAACTAATTTATTAAATGTTACACAATACATTGCTAAAGAAATGGACAAAAGAGGACAAACAGATGTTATTTATACTGATTTCAGCAATGCCTTTGACACGGTGGACCACAATTTATTGTTAAACAAACTTAGTGCTTTTGGTCTTGTTCCTTCTCTTGTGAGGCTTATGGAATTATATCTTTCTAATAGGATCAACTATGTCTTTTACAATGGCTTTAAATCTAGTGAATACATGTTAACATCCGGGGTCCCACAAGTATCAAACCTGGGCCCTCTGTTATTTGTGTTGTATATTGATGATCAGGTTTCTTCTCTTACTTGCAATGTTCTTGGTTTTGCTGATGATCTGAAATTTTTTTCCACCGTCAAGGATTTTGAAGATGTAGTAAAATTGCAGCAAAACTTAAATAAGATAACTATGTATTGTTTACTCAATAGTTTAAAGATCAATTGGAATAAATGTTATTATGTTAGATTTACTCGTAAAATGAGGTATATTGCATCTGCTTACACTGTAAATGGTAATGCTTTGACACTTGTTGACAACATAAAAGATTTAGGTGTAATATTTGATGCAAATCTTACTTTTTCACAACATTTTGATACTTTAACTTCAAACTTGTCTAAAATGTTAGGTTTTATTATGCGTGCTTGTATTTTGCGTTTATTGTTAGTAACTTAGAGGTCGATAATTTGACGCATCAAATTTATACTAACCGTTTTTTTTTTCATCGTTAAATCCTTTGAATTAAAATTGTTCATCTAGATACGACTTATTTTAATCTAGACGTAGATAAAATGTATTTTTTCACAAATTATCTATATAATAGATAAAATTATATTAAATACTTACGGGTAGTTCACTTATCTAGATGAAAATGTCTAGACGAGTACCAAAACTGGCTAAACCTTCACTCTACTCTTGCTGAAGTTAGTACGAGTGCTTTAATAACAACAATTTCCACTTCTCTATTTTTCTCTTCAGCACGATTCATTATAAAATTCGTCGTGATTGCTGAACAAAGAAAAGAATTCGACAGGATGAAGGCGTATCGATATCGGTGGTAGTGTCTGGTCGGTCACGGTAAGCGTGCCTTCGGGGTAAGTGTGAACCATCGGCCGATTGCCACTTAATTATGTATCTTGTGGTAATGTATGCCCCACTTCTGGCAACTCTTAAACGAATACAAGCGAGGGAGAGAATAGCACAACGCCACGCTCTTTTACGTACGGACAGGTGACTTTTTTGCCGCCGGACACAGTCACTACGAACATATTGCCTCTCATCTTCGTTAAGATATAATTATTGGATTCAAACCTCCTCGATCATCTAAAATTAGCCATTGGAATAGTTTGGGCTACAACGCTGTGAACACCACAACATCACTTTGTATTGAACATGTTTTGCTTTGAGCTTTTAAGATGGAGAGTTTTTAATTTCAAGAAATCTTCAACGTTCGACCCTTCGAGGCGTGATCTTACGAGCGTGTTACTTTCGTTTTCTTCAGGGAAAATGTATAAATATTTCATCCAGTGGCAAATTTTACGTAAGTAATTATAACGAGTATACAATGAAAAATATATTTGGATCAGGTGGTGAAAATACAATTGTTTACAGCTTTTTTAATGTAGAAAGAGTCACGTCGAAAGCTGACTGACGTTTAAAATATACTGAAAGTCACTATATTCTACAGCAAAGTCAGGGATTTTTTTCCAAACCTTATATAATCGAATTAAATATGGCCCAGGTCCATCTAAAGTTGTGGAAATATCACTGTTCAAGACACTGTGACTGTGACGTTTTTTTAGTGACCAAAATTATGTGTTTACTTGTATGTTACGGATAACTTGCTATGGTAACATCAATGCAAACTGCAGAAGTTCAAAATTAGAAATTAGAGTAATTTTTAACACAACCCTAAATGATCAACACTACTGTCATCATCTTACTATCACTATCATCTGAAACGGAATTTATATTGATAATGACTTGATTTGTTTCACAGCCGTCCAGAATCTTTTCCATGTTTTTATTATAATTTTCCCACGTAAGCAGGAACTTGAAAAAAGAGTTCAGAAGGTGTCTGCCCAGAAGATAACGGAGTAACTCGATACTGCAGGAGGAACTTACAAAGTTTCGCGTGTAAATCACCGGGTTCATTCATCATGCATTTAAATTTTGTTTTTAATGTTTGACAGTATCGTTCTGCTTGACCATTTGTGGCTGGATGTCCTGGTGCAATCATCCGTTGTTTAATACCATTCCGTTCCCAAATTGTTCTAAATTCATTTGATTTGAAGATGGTTGCATTGTCACTAACTAATATTTCTGGTAATCCATACCAGCTAAAGATTTCTCGTAAATGATACATGGTGCTTGCTGATGTAGGCGAATTTTTAACCATAATTAATTCTGGCCGTTTTGATTTGGCATCAACAAGAATTAGAACATGGTTGCAAAATAGGCTTGCATAATCCATGTATACACGTTGCCAATTCTTTTCTGGTATTTCCTATTGATGAATCGATGCCATTGTAGGATTTTTCTTAACATCGCAACAAATTTGACAACTTTTTAACCATACTTTTGATGTCAGAATCGATGCCTCTCCAGTAGCAATAGTTTCTTGCTAGATATTTCATTTTAACCATTCCTAGGTGTGTTGAATGAAGTTCTGGTAGAATAATGTGTTGTAATTTTTTTGGATTACCACACGATGTCCTCTAAATATTATTCCATCATGCAGTGAAAATTCTAGATTTCTTCTGGTTCCATTTAGAATTTCTTTCTTCATTGTACATAATTCTGGATCTGTTCTTGTTTCTCTTTTAATTTTATGAGCTGTGACTGTTTCCGTACTAATCTGATTAATTAAAATCGTATTTAACACGTATTCGTCATCAGTTTTTTCTTATTCTTTTGGTGATAATTTCAATGGACTTCTGGAGAAATAATCAACATTTACATGTTCACTGGATTTTCGACATTCGATGGAATAATTGAAACCGGATAAAAATTGTGCATATCGTAACATTCTGGTTGCAGATAAGGCTGGAAGTTGTTTTTGAGGATTTAAAATAATTCTCAGTGGTTTATTATCCACAATTAGAATAAATTTCTTTCCATAAATATAATGAAAAAATCTTTTGAAACTCCAATAAATGGCTGTTGCCTCTTTATTTAACTGACTAACTACGTTCAGCTTTTGTCAACGACCTGGATGCAAAAGCAACTGGTTTTTCACATCCGTCTGGAAAACGATGTGACAAAACACCTGCAAGTCCATACGGACTGGCGTCTGTGGCAAGTGTTATGTCTAAATCAGGTGTAAAAGACATGAAAACTCGTTCAATGGCTATTTCAGCTTTGGCTTTTTGAATGCTGTTTCACATTCGATAGACCATATAAAATGTGTGTCTTTTCTTAACAGACGGTTTAATGGATATAACATGCTGGATGCACTGGGAATAAGTTTTGTCTAATACATCACCATTCCAAGAAAACGTTGAAGTTCTTCTAAAGAGGTCGGCCTTGGTGCTTCTATGATCGCTTTGATTTTATCTTCAGATTTTTCGAGTCCTTTTTTTGAAATGACATGACCCAAATATTGAATTCTCTTCTTGAAAAATTGACATTTTTCTCGACTCATATGCAGATTATCTTTACGTAATCTTTCAAGAACTTTAATTAAACGAAATTTACATTCTTCAATAGAAGAACCTTGAACCATTATATCATCAAAATACACTGTGGTACCTTCTAAATCGTGAACAATTTTATAGATGACTTTATGAAATTCATTTGGAGTCGTTTTGATACCAAAGAAGAGTCGTTTAACTAAATAGGTACCTCGATGAGTTGAAATTGTTTGTGTTCGTGCACTTTCATCATCAACAGGAACATGTAAACGTGCTTTGAAGACGTCTAATGTACAGAAATATTTGCCATTTTTCATAATATTGAAACTATCTTCTATTCTGAGAATAGGATAACGATTATCTTGAAGTTGATTGTTGATAGTTACTTTGTAATAATAATAATAATCAGCACACAGTCTAATGTCACCATTCTTCTTCGGCACAATATTCAAAGGTGTTCCCCACTCGGAGTGATCAGTTTTCTTAATAATACCTTGATTTTCTAAGTCACCTAAGTTTTGTTCACCTTTCTCTTGGAGAGCGTAAGGAACTCGGCGAGGCTTTATAAAAATTGGTTGTGCATTAACTCGAAGAGATAAAAAGCATTGATAGTTTGGAATTTCACCAACTTTTGGTTGAAAGACGTCGCTGAATTGATTGTGAATTTCTGACATTGATGGTTGACAAGTAGAAACAGAATAAAAATCATGAAGACTTATCTGCAGTTTCGAATCCATCATCTTCCCATAATGGCTGTACCATAATCAGAAACGACAAATAAATCTCCCATGAACTTCTTCTTTTTATATGTAAGAGGTATTCGTACGTAACCCAGAGGTTTAAATATTTGTTTCGTATAGGAACGAAATTGAATGTTTGTACTTCGAAGAGTCACTTTAAGATTCAATGCATCGAAGATTTTCTTTGAAATGATGCTGACTGGACTGCTGGTATCACACTCAAATTTAATTGGTTTGCCAAGAATTTGTACCGTAATGAACATTCTTGGTTCATAAGCTGACGAAGAGGTATTGAAGATGTCGATAATATTATTTATTTTAAATTCTTCATCAACAGAGAAATTTGAACCGATTTCGACGTTTTTGACAGTTTGTCGATTTTTTTGAAGTAATGAAGAAATACATACTTTATTTGTGTGCCCTTTTTTTCGACAGAGATTGCAGTGAAGTTTACCTTTAATGCGACAGTTGTCAGTTTGACGGTTTTTTTTTTCCAGAATGTAAGCACAATCCAGATAGACCCAATTCTTGTAAATTGATGCTTCAGCCTGTTGTTTTTGAAGATTTTTGACGTGAAAATCTATTTTGATTGTATTTTGATGCTGATTGTCTTTTAGTAAAACCAATTTTATGAAGATTATTTGTCGCGTGTGACGAGTTGTTATAAACTTCTCAATTTTGAATTCTTGAAGCTTCTATTGTCACTGCTGTTTCTAATGCTTTAACTAAGAGGATCGCAGAGTACAACAAGGAGGTTCTTTTTCTTTACATTCCGTTTTGAATTCACAATTTTTAATTAATACTTTCAATCCTGCAATGAATGTGGAAATTGATTTACCTGGTTGTTGAACTGTTGAAAATAATTTAAGTTGTTCAGCTAAAACATTTATCTTCGGTGCAAGATGATTTCTTAGAAGATCCATTAATTCTTGGTAGGTTTTTGTAGGTGGTAGTTCTGGAGGGGTCAAACTTGCAAGTAATTTGTAATGTCTGCTGCCCAAACAATTTATTAATACCTTAATTTTGGCATCACTAGTTTCTTTGTCGTTTTTATGCCAACAATTTGAAAAAATGTTCGAGTCTTTGACTGTAACTCTCAAAATTTTCAACGCTTTCATCAAATCCGTCGAAAGTTATAGCATAGGTCTGCAAAACTTCTTACAGTCGATGTTCGTTGTTTTTGTAATGTAGAAACCAATCCACTAAGGGGCGCTACTAATGCTCGTCGCCCAAAGCTCTGGTGTATTTAACAGTTTAGATATTTTTTATATTAAGACCCACCACTGACCCGGAAATGACCGGCATTCAGGCAAGACTTCTATCATTGCGGGTATTAAGACCAAGTAATGATAAGCATTGATTAGATTAACAAAACAACTTTGGAGATTCTAGAATTACAGTATACAAATTAGTCTGCTATTATTCTCTAATCTCACCCCATCCCCAAAACTCTAGCGTAACTACCGATCATTTATCCGCGCATCACTTGGAAAGTGACCTACACTACTCTGACCTACTGGTGCTAATCTAATCTGACTGACATGATCAGACTGTTCGAGAAACTTACGAACAATATGACATGTTCCTAACAAAATAGCTTTTTGAATTTTGACAATTATTATTGAATCATTCAAATGCAAAGACTTTAAATTCTCAACTAAGCTATTTGGGACTACACCTACATTAGAGATAACTAAGGGTAGAGTTGAAATTTTTTTAAGATTCAACATGGATTTCATTTCTATCGATAATTGTAGATATTTTGAAATCTTGGTGTGGTAGGTATGTTTGAATAATGTTGTTTGTGTTAGGAATAGCAATGTCAATGAGAATGGCTTCGTTCGTGTGTTTTTTGATAAGTATGATGTCTGGTCTGTTAGCTATAATGTTTAAGTCTGTAAATATTGTGCGATCCCAGTATAATTTGTATTTGTTATTTTCAAGGAACGGAGATGGAATGTAAGTGTAATAGGGTGTCGTATCTTCGATTAAGTTCATAAGTGTTGCTAATTCTTTGTGAATGATTTTGGCTGCGTTGTCGTGTCTAGCTTTGTAGTCAGTTTATGCCAGGATGCTGCAGGAGGAGATTATGTGCTAGATCGTTTCAGGTTTTGCTTTGCAGAGGCGACAGCAGTCGTTTCTTATACTCGGATCTTTGATGATGTATTTTCTGTAATTCTTGGTATTGATTACTTGGTCTTGAATAGCAAACACAAATCCTTCTGTTTCGGCATACAAGCTTGATTTTTTTTAACCAAATCAATGACATCTTCTTGTTGACATGAGTTTCTTCTAAGTCTTTGTATAATTTTCCATGTAGTTGTTTTTGTTTTAGTCCACTTATTATTTTGTCTATTATGTGGGGGGTGTGGATTTCTTCGGTGTTCGACAGATTTAAGGGTGTGTGGTTCAAATCTGCTCTTGTGTTGGTGCGAAACATTTCATTTCTTTCTGCTCGTTTCAAGAAATACTTCTTCAGATCTGAGGTTTGTCTCTGATGTAAGTTTTCTAGGTTCTGGAAACCCCTTCCTCCATTCTGTCTTGGTAATGAGAATCTTTCAATGGACGATTTTGGATGATGCCTTCTATACTGTGTGAAGATTTTCCTTGTTGTGATGTTTAAATTTTCAAGACCAGTTTTGGACCATCTGATGACTCCAAAAGAATATGTTAGCAGTGGAACGCAGAATGTATTTACTGCTTTCATTAAATTTTTTCCATTTAACTGTGTGTTCAATATTAATTTTAATCTGGCTAGGTATTGATCTTTCAACTGTGTTTTCTTTTTGGTGTGATTGATGTGGGAGGATTGACAGAAACCCAGATATTTGTATGTATCATTTCGTTCTTGGGCTTCGATTGTTTCGTTATTCTGGGTTATATGTAGTACTTGGTGTTGGACGCCTTTTCTGATTGCTTGGGTCTTACATTTCTCAATACCAAAACACATACCAATATCACCGGAAAACTGTTCAGTCAGATTTAATAGGTTTGTTAACTGATTTTGTGTACTTGCATATATTTTTATGTCATCCATATACAGCAAGTGACTTATTCTGTTTTCTCTTTGTTTGTTAATTCTTATATTGAATCCATAATTGCAGCTGTTCAGAACAGCTTCCGTTGCTTACGCTGCTTAAACGGTTAAAGTTACGTAAAAATCATGTATTACAAAATTGTTCCTCTCTAAAAGTTCTAAAGAAAAGTCCGCGACAGCATATTATGTCTATCTTTTAAGGTCAAGTCAGTATAACCTTTTTTATGGTAATGAAATTTGTTCTAAAATAATAATGCATTATGTATAAAATTCTCGCGTCACAGTGTTTGTAACCGAACTTCTCCGAAATAGGTTGACCGATTTGTATGAAATTTTTCATGTACAGTGGACGCCGCTTAATGTGATCACTTTGGGACCTAGACAAATTGATCACACTAACCGACTGATAACAATAAGCGAAAACCACCATCAGAGACAGTAAAACTGAAAGAAAGCAAAATCATGAACAAGACAGTGTTCATTATGCTGGTAGGTGAAGATACATAATGATTAGAATTTATTTTTAATTTTGGTTATCATTCTGAGAAAGGAACTCTTGATTTCCTTAGGTTATTTTAGAAGTTTGTTAAGAAAAGGCTGAGATTTTTTTCTCTGATAAGCTGAGATCTCGTCGTTTTGACGTGCTCATTTTTACATAAGTACTACTCAAATTTAAAACAGAAAAAATTCGTTCATTCAAAAGACGAAAACGTACCGATTACCAAAGTCTATCACTGATTGTGGCTGTATAAAGTGAGTATTATAAGCGAATGTACTTTTTGCGAGCAATGAATGTTCATTAAAATACAATTCTAGTTTCACTCGTTTCGCTTCTCCAAAAAAGCAATTCCCGCTTGTATAAGAATTGCGAGATTGATCACAATAAGCGAAATATTGATCACAATAAACGGAAAAACTGTATTGCGTTGGTACTGCGTGGGCCCGTTCCAAGCCATTTTGATCACACTAAGCGGTTGATAACATTAACCGTGATCACATTAAGCGGCGTCTACTGTATATTCGGTAGGTCTGAGAATAGGTTGTAAACTATTTCTTAAACCCCTAAGTGATAAGGGTGGCCCACCCTAAAAAATTTTTGTCTATTTCTTGGACAAAATTTTTTATTTTTATTTTTTTAAGAATTGCCATCAAAAAATACACATAACCCTAAATTTTCACCTTTCTACCACCAACCCCCATTTTTTAATCGTCTATATAATAAAAATCAATTGCTGTTCCTGTTAGTCTCGCTAAGACTCAAAAACGGCTTGACCGATCTGAAGAATTTTTTATATTACGGGGATGGTTTATAAATAAAAAAATAAGGAAAACTTAAAAGAACAGTTAAAAAATAAAAAAATTCTAAAAATTTTGTATGGGAATCGCCACTTCGAATTAACTTCAATAGTTCGCGTTTCTGACGGACCTGTCGTCTAACTGACGTGTCATACAAAACTAATTCTTCCGCGCAATTGTGAAAAGTATATTGCATTTCAAATCGTTCTTTGTTTTTTCGTAAAAAAAAACGTCGTTTATTTTAAGAAAAGTCTTGGTTAAAGTGAATTTAATTACACATTGCGAAAGTTTCTTATTCATTTTGATCTGCCATTCTATTTACCTATATTCACTTTGTTGGTTTCGACAAAACCTCAAAATTTACCGTTATTCGAGGATTTAATTTGAAGTTTTCAATATTTTAAAATTCTCAAGACAAAATTTACAGATTTGATTGACTGTGAAAATAATTCTGTGTCGTTTTATGAAGTTCATTAAAATGCCGAGAAGACGACAACCTCACATAGGTCCACGAAGTCAATCAAATGTGCGACGAACTACCTCAGGTGCACACCGCAATGATTTATTTCATGGGTAATTCGGATGTGGAAGTTGATAAGCG